CCTCCACCTCAGTCATTGATGCGTGGACATTCTTGATCTTTCGATGGATATCATGACAACTGGATACACTTCCGTAGTATAAGTTAGTTGTAAGATTATTTCCAATTATTGTGAGCTCTGTGGTCATTGCACCAGACCGATCCGAGACATTCCCCTCATATAATTAAACTGCATACTCCTAGGTCCCATTGTATAACTTGTATCCTTCACATCCTCGCGTTTCGGTGAATTTTTGGTTCCTTGTTGTCCACCGTAGCGTTATTGCTACTCACCGTCATATCGTTGAGCTGTTTGTTGAATTGCCTATATTTTTGAAGTAGGCGTTGATCAAGCATGCAACTTTGGTTGCCTATTCTTGACGCCGCCAATCTGTTCGGTAGATACAATCATTACAAGTACAATCTATCGAACTGGTCCTTCAAATCATCGAATACCCTACAATATTTGTTGAGTAAAAATACTTGAAAATTTAAAACAACGCTCCTACTATATTGTTACGTTGACGTTTGAAAAATATTAAAAATCCATAGTCACAGTTTTTTTTTTATAAGCATTTAATGTTCAAATCTTGACAAAATACTGAAAAATCACAAAAATTAGCAAATTATTTGAGTTGAGAATTCATAAAAACTTTTCTTTTTAAATCTAAGATTTGAAAATGTAATATAATATTATTCATAAGTTTGTCTACCTTTATCAAAAAAAAAATGTCTACCGAAAAGTGATTATTTTTCCATATTCTTGTAAAACTTTTTTAAAGTGTTTATTATTATGAGTTTGTAAATTTAAGTATTAGTAACAGTTGAAATTCACTAACTTTTAACTTGTAAATTTAACTATTAATCTGTAACTAATATGAAATAATTACAAGTCACATAATATATTAGGATGTTGCTAAATTGAAATCCATATTAATAGTTAAATTTACAACCTTTTCACTAACCAATTTATGATACCTATACTCAAGCATTGTTTTAAAAAAATATATTTCAATGATTTTAAAATGTTGTAGGTTATGTAAATGAAAAAGATATGAAGAATGGTAGGGATATTGTTATTAACAAATACGTAATTTTATTAAATCCTTATTTTGAAGTATATTAGATATAAGTGTAACATATAAGCATTGGATTTTATGATATAAAAGGTAAATTTTACCTTTTATAATTTTACATATTTAAATAACACATAGGTCCTTGGATATTTGAGGATAAAACAAAAAAATATTTATTTATTTATTTATTAGTAATATTAACTCCAAACACCATTGATTGGTTAGTAAACTTAAAGCCGTATTTCTGTTCCAAGATAAATCTTGTATATTCCATTGTGTGTGTGTGTGTGTGTGCTTACGTATTTGGAAATCGTGTAAAATTACGTTATTATATTGCTCGTTTATCCGCGTAATTTTTCCCTGGTTTCGGTAGCACTGTAACGACGGTTGATCACATTGTTTTGGCGATGCCGGCCAAGCTGTGGGCCGGGCCTTTGAGGCGTCGTGGCGATCGCGTAACGACCAACTGGCAGCAACTTCTTGGCCCCGCGTCTCATTTTATTAGCAGCAGCTTCCGTATTACCATAGTTAATAAAGGTAAGTAAATGTCTAATACCATAGTTAATAATTTTTATTACACACACGGCATACCTTAGCTTGAGTTTATATCAAGGTGGATTTTAATCCGACTTAGTTTATATGTTATCCATGGTTTGTTGTCACAGATTTTTCAACTCTGCGTCGCTGCCACAACTCGTTTCGCCGTCTACAACATAACTCGTAAACCTCGTGGACAATCGTCAGCCGACTATAAGCTCACTTACGAACGACACCATCTTTGTTTGCTTACAGGTAAGAGTGAATATTATAATTAATTGAGCAATAGTACTATACTATTACTATATACTTTTCTGAGAAGAAGAAAATCCAAACTGCCATTTCTTTGTTCTTTTGCCTTACATTTAGTTAGAGATTTCCTATGGATATTTTTGTTCATAAATGGTTGCAATTTGTTTTGAAGCTATAATAATAATAATTACTGGTTTCCGGGTAACAAAGTGCACGGGATTAGCTAGTCTATATATATAAAAATATCTGATCCCGTGCACTTCATTGATCATTGAAATTGGCAACTCTATATGAATAATATGTTTTCATCATGGTAACCATTTATATACAAACAATCCATCGGAAATTTCAAAATAATATAAAATTGGTTGCCATGGTAATATGGACACACACACGGACATGCATTCATTTTTATATAATACTAGCTGATCCCGTGCACTTCGTCGCCCGTTAAACGGATCAACTCAATACTACCTACTCAAACTTTGTTCAATTCATTATTCAATATTCGGTGTATGGTGTTCAAAATTTATCTTATCTTTCCCGTTGCCCTGAATAAAAATTCTGAATCGCAGCAGTACATTATCAGGTAGGCAATCTACCTGCGGTAGATCGCGGACCCCGTGCTGTTTGTACGGAAGTGTATGATTTAACTCTAAAGTATCAAAGTTATACCAAGTTTATTTTGATGTAATACTGTGGATTAATATAATAAATTTGGTTGCTCGTAAAAAATCGCAACTCTTAAAAAAATTATGATTGTTGAACTCCTTTTGGGTGTAATTTTCTGCGGTAAGTGCAACTCTGCCACCCTGGTAAGCATTGTTCAATAATTCGATTTGATGCAAGCTTGTACCTGATCTGCCCGAATAACCAATGGCAACCAATAAATAAATGCTAATTTCTAATGTAGACTGTAACCAATGGCAACTATAAATAAATAAAAATAAAATTTCCAATTTCTATCGTGAATCTCAATGTCCCTGTTTCAGCACCTATTTAAAATGCGAATTTTGGCAAATCCTTTCTTAGCGCACGTCTATATTATAATAGCTATCTGTATGCCAAATTTCAGCCAGATCCGTCCAATGGTTTGAGCTGTGCGTTGATAGCAGTCAATCAGCTTACTGTTTTTTATATACAGATATGGTTGCCATGGTAATATGGACACACACACACACACACACACACACTGACATACATTCATTTTTGATATGAAATCTTGGTAACCTTAGTAACCATGGCAACCTTGGTAACCATGGTAACATGGACACACAGACACACAGACATACATTCATTTTTATATATATAGATATATATATATTATATAGATATGAGTCCAAGGCATCATCAAACATTAATAGTTAAATATTAATTATGTTTTACTATAACTCATAACATTTAAATTCACAGATGTAGTGGGCTGAAGTAGAATCAAACGTTGTGTTGATACCAGCTTTTTATATTTTTTGAATTTTTTAGCAGTAGTATCTTACTGACAACCATGTGGGAAGGACATGTATTTAGACGAGGGATCTGGTAACTTTTAGTTCTGGAAAAATACTTATACGGCTATCTTCCTGTATGCGCTCTACCCCAGATTGCGGTCTACCTGCGATTATTGGACGATTGTTGTATGCGCTCTACTATAAAATTTATATCTTTATTGTTGAATGGTAATAAATATTAGAACTCTCTTTTTCTACATCATATCATTTTTTGATCGTATAATATTAGTCGTTGGGTGACAATACTTGAGTTCATACACGGTTTTATACTTTCATCACGTTACGTTCAAAATGTTAGCAATAGAATTTTACAAAATCATACAAAATGAAGAAACCGTTACTAATTTTTTAATTGCGAAAAATCTATTAGTAAATCTAGAAAATATACTATGCAATAAATGTGATAGTGAAATGAAATATTACATAAAAAAAGAGCGCGGCAAAGAAAGAAAATTGTTGAGGTGTAAAAGGAAAGGGTGTCAAACCAATATCCAAGGCACATACCCAGAGAATCGAAAGTTTATGGCGGCCTCTAAGACTGAAAATCGTGAAAAATATGTGTGGTACAACTCCAGATTTGCTTCCAAGGTATAATATATTATAATATAATAATAAAAATACGAAGGTAAATATAAATATAATAATAATTACAGGTATCTCATTGAAACGTGGTGGAGAGGAATTAATAAAAGTGACACATTTAACGCTTTTCTGAGGGACATGGCACAAGTATTTTAATATTTATTTAAAATATTATTTAATTTTTTTTTATTTCATTTTATATTTATTATTTATTATTATTATTGAAACAAATAACGAGACGGCGACAAAACAATGACGTGCGTTGATATTATAATATAATCATTTTCATTATTATCATTAATATATTGTCTATAAATGAAACATAGTTGTAGGGTGGAAAAACACGGTAGAGCGCATACTGCAGTCGCAATGCTGCCGGTAGAGCGCATACAGGAAGATAGCCACTTATACTTGGTTAACATGTCTATTTCAGTGAGTTGTAGCTTATCGACATCTACTATATACCTAACCTAACCTAACCTAGTTTTCATATATTTATAATATTGTTTTATTTGTTTGGTTACTATTCCATAAAAATATTGATTTTAACATATTATTTTATTCTAAATACTTTTAAAGTTTTAACTTTTGTCAACAGAATTCTTGTACTATAAAGATGCCAAAACATCCAAAAAAGAAACTTTCTTGCCCGCTTACTATGGTAAGATATTATTGTGATATACTCGATTATCCTACTACCTATATATGGGTTTGTAAAATTTGCTTGAGAATGATATTGAGCGAAGAAGCTGTTTCAAATCATTTGAACAATTGCAGTAAAAAACATAGACAGTCGAACCAAGCTCCACCTATACCAACCAAAAAGTAATAGTTAATTTAGTCTTATTTTTTTATTAATTATTATCAAACATGGTGTTAGAAAGTTAATCTATTTTTATTTTGTTCAGAAATGAAGATTTGTCTTACATATGTGAGTATTGCGGCAGGGTATTTTCAAGGAGAGTTAAGCTAAAGAAGCATCATATAGATGTCCATGAAAAATCATCAAGTCTATACTAAGTACTATGTGACACCAAAGATGAAAATGATCCTTAAATAACAGAAAATGCAAATGATGATAATGACCAACCTGAGGAAATTCCATGCAATAACATTAACTTGATTTGATTTATTTGTATTCGTATTATTTTTTTTTTCTGTATTTTTTTTTTTTTTTTTGACAATTCTTTACAATTTGGACTTTGCAGGCTTGAAATAAAAGAGTTATATACAACAATATAAAAAATTGCTCAGTAGAGTATTTTTAAGATTCAAAATTTCCGTTCTATCAATTTATTAATAGGTATTGCAAAAATAATTACTTTTAAATACTCAAAATATTAAAACACTTTAAAATTCCTAGTTTGTAAACATAAAGTTCTACTGATAGAACTTTTTGTTTTTAATTATCTTTTTTAAAAATATAATGTTCTATAGATAGAACATATTGATTCCAAAGTAATTGATTTGTTCTAACAATTATTGTAAGTGGTGCCAACTTTGATGAAATAAATAAAGTAAATATTTTAGTAGTTGAATTTAGGAAAAAATATATTTACTCACTAATGTTATACCTAGTATTATTAACAATATTACTAAGACAATATTAGTAATTTTTGTATCAAGTAAGACTTTTAATTAGAAGTTCAAATAGTGAAACAAGAAAGTAGGTTATTATTAATTTTTAAAATGTAACAGTCAACTCTTTATTCATTTTCAAATAATGTAGAATCTAAAATAATATAATTAAGGTTAGTATAGTATAAAAATCACTAAAAACTATTAAACATCCAACTATAGTGAAATAACTAAATTATACCCAACTAGTCTAGTAGGTACCAGAAAAAAACTGGGACCCAACTATTGTAGTACCTTAAATAAATCTGGACACAACTAGTATAGACATTTTTAATTGGTTTTCCGCGAAAAACATTTTAGCCATTTTGTACATTTGTAAAACGGAGGCTAAATATGATGCTAATGTAGCGTCATCTTAAGAGGACGCCACACGGACATTAATTGTTGTCTCCATCTTACAAGCATCATACTTACTTATTTCCTTGACAAAATTAAAGTTAGCCAACGTTGTCTAATTTTAAAACTGAGAAAATATTTTAATTCAGCATAAAAATGTATTATATGATGTATGTCTTATACTCTTATCATTGAACATACTTCTTATTCTTCATACTATGGATTGTACTGAAATAATAAACAATAAATAAATAAAAACGCTGTTGTTTCAAAACAGATTGCTATATGATTATTAATTATTGTAGGAATATACAATTATTTTTTGTTTTATTTTATACATATCTATACTATTATATAAAATTGTAAGGGTTTTCTTGGACCGCGCTAACCGAGAAAACTACTGAACCGATTTGGCTGAAATGTTTTACTGTTATACTTGACAGTCTACTGGAGGTCATAGTACCACTTTTGTTTAGAAAAATCCACCAAAAAAGTAGGAAATATGGATGTCATAAATACAACAGTGGCGCAATCTGTCCAGAAAAAAATTAACTAATTAATAAAAAATAAAAAATAAAGTTTATTATTGGAGATTAAAATAATAATAGTGTATTATAATATATTGGTTGCTATGTTATTTATATATATTTATTTATTTATTTATATCGGGCATGTTTGTTGATTTGATTTATTATTTTTCGTAAATTACGTGTAATTACGTGCCCATTACGAGCATAATTTGTGCTTACTTTTTGATTATTCTTATGAGTTAAATTTCGGGTAAGTGGATAATTCATCATCATGCCGAGAGCGCCAAGAGCACGCATTGGAAGAAGAACTGTTTGTTGATTTGTATTTTTATTTTTCGTCATTGTATATATAAATTAATGTTTGAATGTAGATTAGACCTCTGGGAAGAAGATAGACTAATTTAAAAAAAAAATCCTGAATTACAAAAAAAAGAAATGCATGGGGCACTTATGATAACTCCTACGTAAGGGCACTCTACAACTGAATCTTTAGATAAACTTTATGATAAATATTTTAAAGATTATTGATCACACTTCCAATTTTGTAAGAGATATTCTTGACTCATAAGAGCCACGGTTTTAATTGACAGGTCATTATGTTTAGTGTAATTCGAAACAAAGGTTGTAGCATTAGTAATTTTCCTAAAAGCAATATTCTGAAATTGTTGAATTTTGTTGTTATTGGACACTTTTATGAAAATAGATAACTTATATACTTATGATAAGTCATACGTAAAGTCACTCTACAACTGAATTTTTATATAAACTTTGTGATAAATATTTTAAAGATTATTGATCACACCCACAATTTTGTAAGAGATATTCCTGACTCATAAAAGCCCCATGCATTTCTTTTTTTTGTAATTCAGAATTTTTAAAAATTGTTTAACAAATACATTTTATAAACACTTTTAGTAATATCTTGTTAACCTTGAAGTTTCATTAAGAAATTGTTTTAAAAGTAAGTTTATTTTCAACTTTTTCGTTCATTTATTAAGTAGTATTAAGAAAAGCATGTTTTTAAAAATTATTTTTTTATTTTCTACTTTTTAGTGATAACTATAAATTAGAAACAAACGATTTTCTGAAAGCATAATATTTATTATTTTCGGTACATTTGAATATTATAAGCAACTATGTAATATTATATTTTAATTATCTCAGTTCCCGCATTCTTTCCATTTCTTCGAGGGCGTCAATATTACATGGTGTTCTTCCCATCAGCTTTGAACAGTATAATTGTTCAATTCTGAGGCCTTGCAAGGATTTCACTCTGATAAGAGTAACGTAAGCTTGTCCTTTTGCAAAGAGCCTTGGTCCTAGATAAACAACAGCATGATCGACGGTGGAGCCCTGTAACTTTTGTGCGGTTACTGCCCATGACAAAATTACTGGCAACATTCTACGCTCAGCAGTACCATAACTGCGCATCGCAGGAAACTGAATAGATATGGGCTCTATTTCATGGATACCATCTCTTCCAAATATATCTCTTCCATAACCTTTGAAACCCCACTGTCCATATAAGCCATCATACTTAATAATTTTTACAAATGGTATTATTCTCGACAGTAATCGTTTTTCTGACTGTGAAAGAAGGTGGATTTCATTTGGTATAACGCTAGGATCAAGTTTATTCCAAAATGCTTTTGGAGGTGCAGTAGTTTTTCGACTAGACGGATAAGTTAGTAATTGCCTGTATTGCGGCAGGGTATTTTCAAGGAGAGTTAAGCTAAAGAAGCATCATATAGATGTCTATGAAAAATCATCAAGTCTATACTAAGTACTATGTGACACCAAAGATGAAAATGATCCTTAAATAACAGAAAATGCAAATGATGATAATGACCAACCTGAGGAAATTCCATGCAATAACATTAACTTGATTTGATTTATTTGTATTCGTATTATTTTTTTTTCTGTATTTTTTTTTTTTTTTGACAATTCTTTACAATTTGGACTTTGCAGGCTTGAAATAAAAGAGTTATATACAACAATATCAAAATTGCTCAGTAGAGTATTTTTAAGATTCAAAATTTTCGTTCTATCAATTTATTAATATTTATTGCAAAAATAATTACTTTTAAATACTCAAAATATTAAAACACTTTAAAATTCCTAGTTTGTAAACATAAAGTTCTACTGATAGAACTTTTTGTTTTTTATTATCTTTTTTAAAAATATAATGTTCTATAGATAGAACATATTGATTCCAAAGTAATTGATTTGTTCTAACAATTATTGTAAGTGGTGCCAACTTTGATGAAATAAATAAAGTAAATATTTTAGTAGTTGAATTTAGGAAAAAATATATTTACTTACTAATGTTATACCTAGTATTATTAACAATATTACTAAGACAATATTAGTTATTTTTGTATCAAGTAAGACTTTTAATTAGAAGTTCAAATAGTGAAACAAGAAAGTAGGTTATTATTAATTTTTAAAATGTAACAGTCAACTCATTATTCATTTTCAAATAAAGTAGAATCTAAAATAATATAATTAAGGTTAGTATAGTATAAAAATCACTAAAAACCATTAAACATCCAACTATAGTGAAATAACTAAATTATACCCAACTAGTCTAGTAGGTACCAGAAAAAAACTGGGACCCAACTATTGTAGTACCTTAAATAAATCTGGACACAACTAGTATAGCAATTTTTAATTGGTTTTCCGCGAAAAACATTTTAGCCATTTTGTACATTTGTAAAACGGAGGCTAAATATGATGCTAATGTAGCGTCATCTTAAGAGGACGCCACACGGACATTAATTGTTGTCTCCATCTTACAAGCATCATACTTACTTATTTCCTTGACAAAATTAAAGTTAGCCAACGTTGTCTAATTTTAATACTGAGAAAATATTTTAATTCAGCATAAAAATGTATTATATGATGTATGTCTTATACTCTTATCATTGAACATACTTCTTATTCTTCATACTATGGATTGTACTGAAATAATAAACAATAAATAAATAAAAACGCTGTTGTTTCAAAACAGATTGCTATATGATTATTAATTATTGTAGGAATATACAATTATTTTTTGTTTTATTTTATACATATCTATACTATTATATAAAATTGTAAGGGTTTTCTTGGACCGCGCTAACCGAGAAAACTACTGAACCGATTTGGCTGAAATTTTTTACTGTTATACTTGACAGTCTACTGGAGGTCATAGTACCACTTTTGTTTAGAAAAATCCACCAGAAAAGTAGGAAATATGGATGTCATAAATACAACAGTGGCGCAATCTGTCCAGAAAAAAATTAACTAATTAATAAAAAATTAAAAATAAAGTTTATTATTGGAGATTAAAATAATAATAGTGTATTATAATATATTGGTTGCTATGTTATTTATATATATTTATTTATTTATTTATATCGGGCATGTTTGTTGATTTGATTTATTATTTTTCGTGAATTACGTGTAATTACGTGCCCATTACAAGCATAATTTGTGCTTACTTTTTGATTATTCTTATGAGTTAAATCAGCGGTTCCCAAACTTTTTTAGCTCACGGCGCCCTTTTTGAACTAAACTTTTCTCAAGGCGCCCTTCCCAAGACATAGCATGAATTTATTTTTAGACCAGGTAAATTTCTACGGTGACGCGGCGCCCCTTACAAGACATCGCGGCGCACCAGGGCGCCGCGGCGCACAGTTTGGGAACCGCTGAGTTAAATTATTAATGGTAAGATATGATTGTGATAAACACGATTATCCTACTAAATAGGTTTGTAAAATTTGCTTGAGAATGATATTGAGCGAAGAAGCTGTTGCAAATAATTTGAACAATTGCAGTAAAAAACCTAGACAATCGAACCAAGCTCAACATATAACAACCAAAAAGTAATAGTTAATTTAGTCTTATTTTTTTATTAATTATTATCAAACATGATGTTAGAAAGTTAATCTATTTTTAATTTGTTCAGAAATGCAGATGCGTCTTACATATGTGAGTATTGTGGCATGGTATTGTCAAGGTGAGTTAAGCTAATGAAGCATAAAATAGAAGTCCGTGAAAAATCATCAAGTCTATACTAAGTACTATGTGACACCAAAGATGAAAATGATCCTTAAATAACAGAAAATGCCAATGATGATAACGACCAACCTGAGGAAAATCCATGCAAAAACATTAACTTGATTTGATTTTGTTGTATTCGTATTATTTTTTATTTTCTGTATTTTTTTTTTTTTGACAATTCTTTACAATTTGGACTTTGCAGGCTTGAAATAAAATAGTTATATACAACAATATCAAAATTGCTCAGTAGAGTATTTTTAAGATTCAAAATTTTCGTACTGTCAATTTATTAATAGGTATTGCAAAAATAATTCCTTTTAAATACTCAAGATATTAAAACACTTTAAAATTCCTAGTTTGGAAACATAAGGTTCTACTGATAGAACATTT